AATAAGCTGCCTAATAACCCAAGGAGCGCGACCTCCCTATCCTGCCTGCCTGCCTGCCTGCCTGCCTGTCGAGGCTCCGAGACGGTTATGGCCAGTCCCTGGACCCTGGGCGGGCGTGAAGGACCTCCTTTACAGTTCGTCAATTTTAATGGAGGTCCTGGTGGGGGCAGGACACACTCGGAAATCGCTGCTAAAAGTAATTCACTTTTATATTAAAAAGATTTTCGCTATACGCGCGGGTCGGGTCGCTCATTTGCATGGCGCTTGTCCCGCGGTCCCCCGATGGGGGGCGTACACTCCCCAAAAAAAAAGCGTAATAAAATAAACAAGTGTCCTGGAAAAAAAGGAAACACTCTGGGTCTACGCCCAATGTCCCGGACTCCGACAAAATGGTGTGAAAGTGATTTATATTTTAATTCAAAAATGAATTATTTAGCACACTTTTTAATTCCTTTTTAGCTCTCTCGCTGCCCCTCTGCCAGCGCCTCTCATTTTATGGCTCGAATCTGAAATTCTGATTACTTCTTATTTGTGCTTTCGCTTTTCGCTTCGGCAGTTTATTGCATTTCGTTTCGTTTCGTTTGGGTTCGCCCAAAAGAAATGCAAATATTTCGGCTCATTATTGCGCCACATTTAACGCGGCCCGAAAAGAGGCCTAAAAGCTGTTGACTGTCGGACAAGACAAGACTCCCCCATCCTTCAGACAATTTGCTGCTCAAGCGTGCAATGACATCGCCGTGTGGCCAGGCCATGGGTGGGGCACAAACTTCTGCATAACATGCATAATAAAGCAGGTCCTTGGAGGGTGCTTCTTCCCCTTTCCACCTTCCAGGAGGAATTCAAGGAACACCACTAACAGCAACCAGAACTGCGAACTGGTTCTGCCCACTTTATGAGAGCCCATAGCCATAACTAGTCCGTGTTTTCCATGAGTATTACTGCTGGATAAATGCTTTTTATATCGACAGAGAATTTAAACGGCTGCATGCCGCTTTCTCCTACAGCCGATTATTACGATGCAGCCCTAACAATCCTTGGAGCTACAAGGAAAACACACAACAACGAAACAACGAAACGAACAAAATACAAAAAAAGGAAGAATAGAATTTGTAGTGTCCTGGTGGCCAGACTGCAGATGCAAAAAAAATTTGAATATAAAATGCGTTATGCGGTGGGGGATTCTTGTGGTGGTGGTGGGGGTTCGGGGGTGCGGGCAGCAGATCCTGCGGCAACAATGAAATTGCGTATGTAAATTTTATGTCGTTACCAACGGCGGCGGCAACATTGCTGAAATAATTAAAGTGGAATGCTGCTGCTGCTGCTGCTGCACCCACAAGAAAAAAGAATCCCGAACGCGGGGCAGTTTTTGGAGGAGTGGAAGTTGTAGTTTTGGTTGTGGCTATGTCCTTAGTCCTAGAGTCCTTGCCCCGTTTGTCTATTGCCAGCTTGGCAGCTTTTTTTTTGCACTTGTCCTCCGTCCATATGCAAAACAGTGTCAGGCAGCAGCAGCAGCAGCCGCACAGCTGCTTCTGGCTCCAGGAGCTGCTCCTTGGTTGCCCCTTCTTGCTGCTTGCATTGCAAATGTGACTCTGCCTCTGACTCTGACTCTGACTCTGAGTGTGTCTGCAACTCTGACTGCAACTTGTCAAAAAATGTCGCAACAACAGCAGCGACTACGACAGCGAGAGCGACAGCGAAACGGGGGAATGGCAAACGCTTTGGCTTTGGTTTTGGTTTTGCTTTGGCATAAATATGAGTGCCATCAAATTAATATGCACGGGGCATATGGCTGCAACGATTTTATGGTACAACATGTTAAGTGCATTCAACGGCAGCTGCTGCTGCTGCTGCTGCATCTCCAGTGCTTGGGGACACTGGGAACTGCATAATGCAGGCAGCAGGCAGCAGGCAGCAGAAGCAGAACCCAGAGATGACTCCTCGGCGGCAGCATCTTGGCAGGTTTTTCACGCTTCTTGAGTGACAAGCACACGGATGCCTGGCGCATGAGTTATGATGCTTAGCCGCATTGCTGCGTTTTCCACTGCCACAGCGACCCGCTCTCTGCGGCGGCTGTGGCTGGCGTGGCAAAGATAAAACTCACATCCCCTCCAGCGCTTTTCGAGTGTGCAGCATGGGAGAGAGAGAGCGTTTAATTTGACTCGCAAGTTGGCAACTGGCACGGCACTGTCCATGGGTGTAAAGCTTTTAGCGGAATTGTCTGTGGCATGTGTGGCAGTGCCCCACCCCAACTCTCTTTGGCACATGTTGCACTGTCAGCTCAAGTGCAACTCCAGGTAGAAACGCCTCCTATATCGCCATCGCCGTCGCCTGTGCCCTTTGTTAATATTTCAAATGGGTCTCTGAGCGCCACACATTTGTGGCATGAGCGCTGTCTTTCGTTGGCGTTCTTCTTAATTTAAAAGCTTTTCATTCTCCAAAAACCTCACAAACAACAGACAAATGTCAAATTTTCAAAGATCCCCCAATAGAGAGGCATCTCTTCCAAGTTTTTGCCCATCTGATGATCTATTTAAATCAAGATTAGTGGCATTTTTCCTGCTCAAGGACCGTCTTCTTTTGGACCATGGCTAATGACATGTGAAATGTGTTGATAAAAAGCGTGCGAATAGCACAAAGATATTATAAATTTGCGTTTGCCAAGCGTTTGGCAGCTGTTGATTCGGTCACCGCTTCAACGCTTCACTGAGCAAAAAGTGGGGGCCACTTTCGGCCGCCCTTTCGATAATCCTAGCTAACGGACGGAATCTAGACGGATGCTGGGGTACTGAGAAGCTGGATGAGCCGCAACGCCGTAACGCCCCAACCGTCACGCAGTTGTCCGTTCGGTCAAATGGGGGGCGTGCCCCACGCCGCCACTCAGTGGCATATTAGCCACGCATCAACGAACACACACACACAGCACAGCCTTGAAAGTGGCCCCAAGGAAGCGGCAGCTGCTGTCGCATTTGATTAGACTTTGTTTGCTCTTCTTTTGCAAGGGGTCCTGTCCTGCCTGCCCCAAAAGGATATTGATAAAGGCATTTGTCTCTCTCTTGCGTGGGAGTTTGTGTGTGTGTGTCTGTGTGTGGAAAGGTGCGTTGCAAAAGTTGAGTCAAAGGTTTTCTCTTTGACTCGTAATTAATTTGCTTTGTTTCATGCGCTTCGCTGGGCAATAGACATAGGCAATAGACGGTCCCCCGTCTCATGCCACTGGCTGTGGCAGGGTGTGGGGCAGTGTCATGGAGCCAGACAGATTCGGACAAGTGGCAACCGCTGCGTCGCAGTGGGGTGCCCCCCAAAAATGTGCCTCAGGGCCGAAATCATAAATTATTTTATTAAGCCACTTCGGCCGGCCCTTCGGCACACCCCAAAGTTATGTGAATTATTTTGCAAAAGTTAATTTCATGCAATAAATTCCAAATCGCGTTGCCAGCCAACATTTCATGCCACACACCAGGGAGCAGGGAGCAGGGACCGGGACCCCCCTTGAGGGGTTTTGGATTTGTTTTTCTTGCGAGTTTTCCTCCGCTTTTCGGGCAGATGGGGAATCGTGTGAAACGAAGCGCCTGCCTTCCAAAAAAGTATGCAACATAATTACATTTTCAGCAGGTGATTAAATGAGGCCGTAATTGTTTCAGCCTCTCGCTCCTTCAGTTGTTTGCCGCTCCACTAATAGCCGTAATTAGTGGCTGATCCCTTGGCGGGGGACCACTTCGCTCCCCAGCTCCCAGTTGCCCCGAAGACTGACTTTAATTTATGCCCGCGTGTCTTCGAGTCGTTTTGTGCTGTGCCCCACGGCCACGTTTAAATTATTTCCATCGTGTCCGGCAATAAAACTTTTCGCTCAAAACAATAATTGAACGAATTTGTTCTGCTCAACGTTTGGCGGCCACTTAGCTTTCCCATAACACTCCTCCTCATACGTGTGTATATCTGTATCTGTTATTTTTATTTGTTCGGGCTACACTCGGAGATATTTAGCAGAAGATATAAAAACTGAGCAACCTATAGAACTACTTGATTCCGATCGGCTCATTATTGAAGTCAGAATGACAGTCGTTTGGCTCTTTGAACACCTGGCTTCCAAAAACGAATCGTAATAATGCGAGAGCAATGCTTTCTGGATAATGCTTGGATATATAAAAACCAAACGCCTCGACTTGGTTGTGTCTGGTTTTTTTTCGATTTCTCCTTTTCTTTTTTTCAAAGTGTATAATTTTTTCCGCCCTCTTTCCCCCTTCCTTTTGCATGGGGCATCAATAGGGATCTCTTGATAAATGTCCAATTTAATTTTGCTCTTTTTTTTCTTTTACTTATCTCTGGCGTTCGTCTTCGACTTCGTCTTTGACATCTGCCTGCTCCACATGGGCTTCTTCGTTTCATTTGTTCCCTCTTTCTCTCTCTCTCTCTCTTGTTGCCTCTCCCCCCATTTTCTTTTTCTTCGCACTTTATCTCATTCTTTGCCTTTTCCTCCACCCTCCCGATTTTATTTCATCGCGCGGCCACTTTGTCGGCTTCTTTTTATGCGAATGCGAGGACGAGTACGGGTACGAGTGCCATGCCCTGCCCCGCCCTGTAATCGTGATACGAGCGAATGAATGGCAATGGCATCTTCGTTTCCCACTTAAGAAGATAAGTATTTCCTCCGCCATTCGGGGCGTTTCGGAATTATGGAAAGTTCAACGAGACAATTGCTCGTATTATTTCACGGTCTTTGCTATTTTTTTGGTCAAGTCTTTTTTTCCTGGAAGTCCTCAATTTTCTTGGAATTGTCTTCAGTGTATCTTCAGGTCGTATTGAGATCCATACATATATATAATATATCTTGAGCTGAAGTTTTCTTTCCTCCGGTTTCGCCACATCAATTCCATGATTTTTGGTGTATTTTTTTCTGGGGAAATTTATTTCTTCTTTTCATTTTTCTTTGGGGGAAGCTTTTTTTGCAGCTTGCGCTTTAAATGTAATTTAATTCGTCTTCCCATCTCCCTTTTTGCTTGCAGCAGACATCGCCGCCAGCAGACGGCGGCGTCTGGCGCCGGAACTGTCTAGCGGGTAAGAAATATGCTGAGGCTTTGATTTAATTGAACTTGCGTCATTTGGAGGCACCAACAGACACACAGCCAGAGCCATAGCCAGAGATATGGTGCCATGCAGCTGCTCCGTATTTAAAATGCGGTGGCTTATTAAACAGGCAGGCGGGCGGGCGGCCCATGGGCGTTGGTGTTTCAGCTAATGGAAGACAACGACAGTGATACCACCAGATGGGGAGCCGCCTCCTGTCGGTGGCATGATTTTGTGCCACATGTGGGCCACTGGAGGCCGAGGCAAATATTGTCTCTCATTTGGTATGCTGTGTGCCCTGGCCAAAATCAATAAATCAAAGCATGGGGCGGACGGAAAACAGTGTCCTGAATGCGACGTCACGAATGTCGCACTCTGGCGCGTGCCTTGGCCCCCAGCCGGAGCTTCCAACATATTTGCGTGTGGCAATGCAAACAATGCCGTGCTACTATCCTGCTTCGCCATCCCTGAACTATCCTTTCAAGGCCGCTCGTTGCCTGCTTATAGCCCCCGCATTGATAGCCCCCGCAACCAATGTTTGCAGCGCCCTCCTGGCAACAGGTTGACCCGCAAAATCCGAGTCCCAGTCCCAGTCCTAGTTCCAGTCTCTCTACAGCATGCATGAAATGCAAACTTTAACCCCAACCCCAACGCCAACCCCAGGGCCCCCAATCTCCAAGAGAAGAATGTATATAGAATATTTGCCTGCATGTCAGCTGGGACGGGGTGCGAGTGCGACCACAAAGGCAAATACGCTTGGCTAAAACTTGAAGCGGCTCAAAAGTTTCACGTTTTAAAGGCTTAAGCCGCCCACTCCCACTGCCCCTCCGACTACCCCCCCAGCGACCCCATCATCTATTCTTTAGACCATTCGCAATCCGAATAGCAGAGGCCCCCAGAGTGCGGGGCTGTGCTGATTTTTTATGCGCCGCTCTGTGGGTTTAAAAAGCAATTCCGCAACTGTTTTTGCTCCATGGCCCATATGTAACTGCGAGAGGTAGAGAGAGACAGACAGAGGCAGAGAGAGAGAGAGAGAGAGAGAGAGAGAGAAAGAATGGAGCATATCCACATCCCAGCGGGCTGGCAACAAAGCTACAGGAGCTATCCTTAGTCCCAGATCCTCAACAATGCTGTCGTTATCGTCGTTTTCACTTCAATTAAAAGTTGGCAACTTTTCTTGCCATGTTTACCTAACTTGCCACAGGACGTCGACGACGACTACGACGACGAGTACCAGAGCAAGGATGTGGCTGCAGGAATACGAGTGGGAGAGTCGGGATTGGGGCTGGGCTCCAATTGCCATTATGCAGATTCGTATGGCTGATTACCAAATTACAAACTGTAATGGCAGCAATTGTTTTGCCTGTGGAATTTCCAGCACATGGCATTTGTGGCACACGCAAATAGGCCGTCAGTTGTCACAGCGAAAAACACAAAAACACTCAATGCTGCAGCAATGGAACAATGTCATGCAACAACTTGCAGGGCAGACACACCCACTCATCCACCCACCCATACACCCCCCACCCACACAGAGAAAGAAGGTCAAAGAAAAGGCTGCTCTAGTACTTAGACCTTAAAGGCACGTAGTATACGCCGCCGGAGTGGGGGCTGAGCAGTCGACTTCCGTGCTGTTCACGCCCCAATGCGTTGTCTACGTTGCATCGCTGCATCGTTGCCCCTGATCCGAGTGCCTGCCAGGAATTTCCACGAAACGTTAATTGCGACAAGCCAGCACTAGCACTCGGCACCCCAGGGGGAAGACCAAATGGCATCTGCTTGCACCACAGACAGACCGACAGACAGAGCGGCGACAGATGCCGCACACAGGTGCAAGCGCAGGTGCAAATATAACAACTTAGTTGAGGGACTTCCGACGCACTCAAAGGAAATACTTAAACTAAAGACTCTGTAGGTGTGTGGCACACACGATAATGTTGCCTGGGAGCCTGAACGCCGAGGCTTTCCAGTGGGGGACTCCATTCCTTTCCATAAAAATATTTTCTACAAAATAATTAGATGGCAGGGCTATAAAATCTGCGGCTTTTGCTACTTTATTATCACGGCACAAAAGCTGTACGCCACAATGCCACACAATGCATATGTTGCAACGTGAGAGGCACGGAGAGGAGGAATGTGTTCTGGCATTTTATAGACGCGCCATTTGCCATTTAATTCTGCCTTGCCGTCTTTCGCACTTCCATGGCCATTGAAAAAGCATCTTGGTATCATTAAAATTGATTTTGCAGAAGGTCCCGCGGAGAGCAAGGGAGAGCGATAGAAGTTGGCTTTTCTATTTGCCAAACGCCAAGGAATTTGCTAAATTGCTTTTCTACTGTGCAGCAGCCACACATATACACACAAAAACACACCTTGCCACAGTCAGAGTCAGACGCGGAGGCTGAAGCTACAGAAGGAGCTGAAGCTGAAAGCTACTTGGATGTGCGTTTGGTTTTGCAATTAGTTTTTGTACCTTCGGCCGCCACAAAAAGCTGCAAGTTGCTGCTAAGTCATACAAAGGGGAAAGCAGTGAGGGAGCAGGGCGGGGAGGGGAATCGGTGGCGACACACACGCAACCTAAGCATTCTTTTTATTGTGGTATATTGTGTGGGGCGACGGCAACAGTAACAAAAGCGATTAAAACACCCATAAAACCATGAGCCCATTAATAGCCGCAATAATATTATCAGCTTATGTTCAATGCTGCATGCCTCAAACTCAAACTGAAACTCAAACACAAACTAAACTTTGTCTCTTTGGGATTTTCATTAACATTTATTGGTTTTTTACTTAGACATCAGAAACATAATAACTTTGTCCGTGCCCCCATAATATCACATCTCATCCCATACCATTCCAGTGGCTCCTCCAGAGGTTCCTCTCTGAGTGGCAGCCAGCTTCTTCTTCCAGCCAGCAAGCAGCTCCTCCACAATATTTCGCGGTCGTATCAGCGTCATCATAAAATAACGTTAATGACGGGCAACAAGGTCGTAAAATCAAAATTTCTGCTATTTCAACGCTGAAACCACGGCGCAGAGCAGCGTTGGGAGTAGCTGATGCTGGCAGCTTAGCAACATTGTTGATATGAGACGAGACGATGCCATGGGAATGGGAGCGATGAGGATCAGACGCTGTTCATGGGAGACGGAAACAGAGACCGCGAGTGAGCGCCTGCAACCATCCATTCAGCAGCAGCAGAAGCAGGCGCCAGCTAGCCACACAATCCAACACATACCACATACCGCACATCCCACATCCAAGCCGCAATGTTACTCCGCTGCTGTACCAAGTGGCGTATGCGTAATACCGCGAAAATTTAATTACTTTAAAGGCGCCCGAAGGTGGTTGGAGGTCAGCGGACTGGAAGGCTGCAATAAAGACATCAAAAAGTTCAACACTGTTGCTTCCAGTATCATCCTGATACCGACTAAAGAAAGTAGAATCTAGAGGACATTTTTCACATATAAAATCACATAGAAAATCTCTTGATTTATCTGCAACTCCACAGAGAACCCAGAAGAGAAGAGTCATGTGGGGTTTTATTCCGCACTCAATGGAAATCGATTTTCGGGTCTTTCGCCTAAATAAATTTCACATTGTCTGGGGTCCTTTTTCTCTGTGATAGGTGTCCTCTTGAAAATGGTATTTCCAGCCAGGAATATCCAAGCAAATTTCATTTAATGTGCTGCCACAGCAACAGCAGCGGAAGGAGAGTCCTTCCATACATTCTCTCTCTCTCTCTGTGTGTGTTCCTCACCAATGTGTTAGTGGAACGTGCAGCATTTTAAATATTCATTAGGCAGCAGGATAGGAGGCAGCATTGCTGCCACACGGGTCAGGGTCGTCCGCCAAGTGAGAAATGATATTTGAAATTAATTTAAATCGTCGAAAATGTGAGCCACCAATGAATTGGCGATTGAAAATTGAAGCAGCTGCTTCCAGCAATCGGGGATACGAGATTTTCGGCAGCGGCCCCAGCACGGGGCACGGGGGCCACTGTGTCTCGGCCAGTGTTTATGGGCCATAGGCCGAGGTTTATGTAATGGCGTTCAGATTTTATCGCGTCGTAAACGTCTGTGCTGTGCTGTCTGTGGCCTAAGTAAATCAGCATAAAATCCAGCTAAATGAAGACAATCAAAGTGTGGCTACGCCTCGAACTGCATATAATATATACACGCTCTCATACTCTCATATATATGTCTATTTAGACATCTGGGAGGACAGCAGGACCCCAGCCACTTCAATTGAGTCACAGAGCAACAGCAGCAGAAGCAGCAGCAGCCGCAGCACGAGCCCTGCCCTGGCTCTTTGCACTCAAAATTATGCTGTGGCTAGGACTTTGCCTTTTGGCCTCATTCCTCTCAAAATATTTGCAGCAGCAGCAGCAACAAAATGTGGCACAACAATATGGTAAACTATATAAAAATTTGCCCAGCGTCCAGGGCAGTGGCCCGGGCCAGGCCCCCAGCCGGTCGGTCGGCTGATGGACAAAAGGTCGGGGATAGCGACATCGTTATTGTCGTCATTGTCCTGGGCCTGGTCAAGTGGCTGGCAGCAGCAGCAGCAGGCGCAACCACGACTACGAGGAGCTGGACGATGTCAGGACGTGGCAGGCTACAAGGAAGATTTTTACGGTCCTAATAAAAGACAAACAAAAGGACCTTTGGGTTGCTGCCCCCCACACCATGGAGTGTAGGAGCTCTTTCGTATCGCAATTTTCATTATTTTATTTGCCTATAAACGAAGCCATATTTTCGTGCCAGTGTATGTGTGCAGATACAAGTGTATCTATGGCCCACGCACGCACACAAACACACTCCACACTCGCCCACACTCCATTTTGTTTATTTGCCTACACTACACAATTTTAAGCAAAATAAGTAATTAAAAAAGTCATAAAGTGGTCGGCTCTTGTGCTTCTACGATGAGTATCTCTTGGCTCCATAAAAATCAATGCCGACAGTCTGGGGCCCCGTGAAGAGGAGAGGAGT